TTCCTATCAAAGAGCCATTATTACCCATTTCCCACAGTAAAGAAAACACTGGGAGCCACAGCAGCCGCGGCGTTGTGGGCGGGGCCTACCCTCAGACAGCAGAGCGCTGCTCACAACAGGTGACAGCAGCCAGTACCGGTCGCTCGTGTTCGTCAAAGTTATCTTTCATAAGACGATAATAAAACGATTTATATAAAATGGATCCAGAAGCTGTAGCCCGTCTCTGCCGACAATATTTTGATATTTTTCACCCTGTTGTTGGTTTTACTGAGCAGGTGCCACGTTTGTCATACGTTTCTTTTTAAAACATGTTTAGACTGTTCAGAATACAAATCCAGGCTCTGTCACGTTTGATTGTTGTAATTAAACTTTGTAGGTGGGGAAGGTCAGAAAAGGATCCGATCATTTTGTTTTTCCCTCATTTACAGTGACGGAGATAACGGCGCAGTGCGCCTGGCTCTGGTGTTAATCAAGTTTAATTTTATCTATTTTCACAAGAAAACAGAACAGGTAAAAGCAGGGCTTGTGTTGACCGGACAGTTCCCATATTTGACCGTTTATTTTGACGGAGAAAGAATAGAAAGAATTACCCCGACGCATGCAGATGAACTGACATTTTATTCTACGCACATCGCAGATGTAGCTAAATCGCTCAAGAAAAGATTCCCATCTGAACATCTGAGCTGGACACTGCTCAGCGCAGCTCACTGTCAGCGTGTACTACATAAGGTATACAGCGAGCTGAAGATGTGGAGAGGGGCTTGGAGCGCGTCGCAGAACCAGAGAGCATGCAGGAAGATTCCTCCGACTGAATTCAGTCGGAGGAATCTTCCCGCTGATCTGAATCTGATGCGGCTCTCTGTGCTAGTAAAATAATGAATGGATATTTAAATAAAATGCTTTATATTTTACTGAATTAATTTTATATCTGTATGTCAGTTCTATGTAAAGATTGTCTGCGTAAACCTGAACAGGCCCAACCCAGTCTTACTGTGAGACCGGGTTGATGGGTCACGCTTGTGCAAAATCAGAGGCGCTTCCTGAGCTGAAGAGGATGTGAGATTCTGGGATTCTCCTCAGACGGCTCCTGGATGCGTCACCATATCGGAGACAAGAACAAGCACTATTCAGCCAAAGTTTCATAATCAGGGAACATTTTCTAAGTGACAAGTCTCTCTGAGAGACAGGGTTTGGAAAATACTCGCTTCAGTGGGAGGAACCTTCCCGCATGCGCTCTGGTTCTGCAACTCGCTCCAAGCCAATCTCCACAACTTCAGCTCGCTGTGCACATATGCGCTGACAGCGAGCTGCGCTGAGCAGTGTGCAGCTCAGATGTTCAGATGGGAATCTTTTCTTGGGTGATTTAGCAACATCTGCGATGTGCGTGGAATGAAATGTCAGTTCGTCTGCATGCGTCGGGGTAATTCTTCCTATTCTTTCTCCGTCAAAATAAACGATCAAATACGGGAACTATCTGGTCAACACAACACAAGCCCTGCTTTTAACTGTTTTGTTTTCTTGTTAAAATTGTTGGAAAGAGATAAAATTTAACTTGATTACCACCAGAGCCAGTGCGCCATCATCTCCGTGACGGTAAATGAGGGAAAAACAAATTGATCGGATCCTGCACGTCTTTTAACACATTGGTCAGGATTGACACACTTTGTTTTCATTTAGTTGGTTAAAAAAAAGTCGGGCTCGGGCTCGGGTCGGGCTAGAGAATCCTGAAAACCTTTTTGGGCCAGGTCGGGCTGGGGCTCCACCCCCTCGGGCCGGGCCGGACACGGGCTCAGATTTTAGGCCCGTGCAGGGCTCTAATAGGAAGTCATTTTGGTTGCGATATTATGCTGTATGGATGGTTTTGCTGGGATGACAAGTAGTTCAGTTTTAGAGAGGTTGAGTTGGAGATGGTGGGATTTCATCCATTTTGTTATGTCAGAGAGACGGTTTGACACTCATGCAGAGACAGTGTGGTCGTCCGGTGGAAATGACACATAGACCTGGGTGTCGTCTGCATAGCAGTGGTAGGAGAAGCCATGTGATCGAATGATCTCACCCAGTGAGGTGGTGTATGTGGCAAAGAGAAGAGGTCCTAGTACAGAGCCCTGGGGGGCCCCTTTGGCAAGATGGTGCATGGTAGAGGATTGTCCAAGCCAAGATACACTGAATGATCGTCCTGTGAGGTACGATTCAAACCAGGCATGTGCTTACTCTGTGATGCCAATGCTAGAGAGTGTGGACAAAAGGAAGCCATGGTTGACAGTGTCAAATGCAGCCGATAAGTCGAGCAGGATAAACACTGAGGATTTGCCTGTCGCTCTAGCTTCTTTTAAGGATTCAGTCACTGCTAACAGAGCGGTTTCAGTGGAGTGGCCCTGTTTGAACCCAGACTGGTAAGGGTCAAGCAGACAGTTTTGTGAGAGGTATTCTGTGATCTGCTTGAAAGCCACCCTTTCAATGATTTTGGACAGAAAAGGGAGGAGAGAGATAGGTCGGTAGTTCTCCACGTGATTTGGAGGAAGAGATGTTTTTTTTGGCAGCGGTTTAACCTGAGCATGCTTGAGAGAGGTGGGAAATGTACCGGATGTCAGTGAAGTGTTGATCACGTTTGACTGCTGCGGCTACTGTAGGAGCAATAGCTTGGAGCAGCTTAGTTGGAATGGGGTCAAGTGGGCATGTAGTAGGGCGGCTGCACGTGAGAAGCTTGGACACACAATTCTCAGTGAGAGGGGAAAAAGAGGAAAATGAAGCAGTAGGGCCTGAGATGGTTGGGCTAGAAGGAGTTTGTGGTTGCGAATGTTCAGGAGTGTCCAGTTGAGTAAACTGTTTGCTTATAGCTGCCACTTTGTCAGTGAAAAATGAGGCAAAGGTATCAGCTGATAGAATGTTGGTAGGAGGTGGAGATGGAGGGTTGAGCAGAGTTTTGAATGTTGAAAAAAGTTTCTGAGTCAATAGAGCTGAGAATTTTGTCAGTGTAGAAAGCTTTCTTTGCATCAGTGATGCTGGCAGAGAATGAGGACAGTAATTCCTGAAATTTCAATTGATGACCAGGATCTTTTGTTTTGCGCCATTTCCGTTCCGCAGCTCTAAGATTGGTGCGTAGAGACCGGAGGGTATCATTTAGCCAAGAGTGCGACTGAGAGGATCTAGCAGGTCTAGTGGCTAAAGGGCACAAGTTGTTAAGACAAGAGCAGAGTGTGGAGCAGAGTGACTAGGTGGCTTCATTCACTTCATAAGCAGAGAATGTGCTGGGAGATGGAAGAGTGGAGGCAACAAGAGAGGAGAAGTAGTTGGGTGCCAGATTGCGGAGGTTGCGGCGGAATGAGACCATTGGGGAGGAAGCAGTGGACCTCCCTTGTAGAGTCGTGCTGAAATGGATGAAGTAATGATCCGAAAGATGCAGCGGTGTGACAGAGATTGTGTCTATGGCATTGATGTGTCTGATTTAATAACTTATTAAAACTTTGCTTTAGAAAAATATTCATTATACAATTATAATTTAATTGAATAACTAGAAAATAATCTCAAATGTCTGGTAACCTGTTAGAGGTGCGCAGAAGAGCATCCAGCTGCAACACTGAGAAATAAAGTTAAAATAAAACCCTGACTTATTTTCAGATGGAAACACTATTTTATGAAAACACAACTTGTGATTGACCTCACTTGTAATTTCCCAAACACGAAAACTCATCAGTGAACATTTACTAAAGAAGTACATCCTCGTTTTCTCCTACACTTTCCATTTTCCTTCTCTACAGATTTTTTTCTTTCACATTTGTCCAGATGATTCCTCATGATCATTCATGTAAATGAAAATAAAGATAACTGTTGTCAGGTTGAATTGCACCGTGGATCTGGTGGGAGAGTCTGCCCCCCTGGCTTTACCGTGAGGTCCGGACCGAACCGGACAGAGCCAACATCTGGACCTCTTTAATAGAGCAGGTCTTTGTAATCCTTTCCATTATTCATTCTCATAATATTCCCTCAGTGAGTGAGTGATCCTACCTGCTGATGCTGCTGGGTCTTGCTGCTGACTCCGGAAATAGCACGTTTTAGTGAAAAATGCCCATTTTGCACATTTAGTGGCGTCTGTTTCTAGAGTTTTCCTCCTGAGTCCTGCTTCTCCCACCCAGAGTCACCTGAAGTGTTCCGTCTGGAAGCGCCTGCAGAAAAAAGGCAGAGGCGGCCCGGGGACAGCGCGGTCTGATCAAAGCCATGACTGAACCCTAACCCCAACAGAAAAAGAGAAGAAGACAAGAACTGACGAGTTATAAAAAATATGTTTTTGTTTTTGTACCTGACATGAGAGGCCCTTTCAGCAGGTAGGCAGTCTTAGGGATCAGCCCAGTGGCATGACGACTGAGCACCGGTCCAAAACAAACAAACAAACAAACACACAAACAAACAAAAACAACACCGCGCCTTGCGGTCCAGACCCCGATTAGCCACTCCGGGCCTATTTGAGGTTATCAGTAGTAAACTCTACAGTAAATAAATGTCTGACCAAGGGACTTGTTAACAAAATCTGAATAATTAAAATAACAATAACTGACATTTTCATACCTGCTTTGTCAGGCTTATGTTGAATAAACAAATGCACATTTTATTAGCCTAAACAACCCACTTTAATTTTTACACCCACTTTATGCTCACGAGGAAGTTATAAGATCTAATTAAAAAAGCAAAATTAATTTTGTTTATTCTAATAATCTACAAGGTAATAATGCTCTATAGTAACGTGTACATGGAACCAGCAGTCATTCCGTTGTTTAAGGTAAAAAAATCCATGAAACAATCTGAGATTACCACGTGATTCCTTAAGGTTTGTAAAGGAATTGGAGTCACCTGTATGATCTCACAAACGCTGAAGACCCACGTGATGCTGCCTGATTAGCTTAGTGGCTGTGTCTCAATTCAGGGTCTGCATCCTACGTCGGCCGGATTCGTCAGCCGGTTACGTCACAGCGCCGCGACTAGGCCTGTCCCAATTCGACGACTCCTTCAAATGCGGTCGACGAATGCGGCCTTCTTTTCGCCTGAATGAAGGATGGGTCCGGTGTATCCTTCAACAGGTAGCATTTCCCAAGATGCCTTGCGGGCCGGCCAGCAGAAAAACTTAAAAACAATGGCGGACAGTGAAGCGGGAGCTGTCGGAGAGGATTGCGCATATAAATGTCAGTATAAACTTGAAAACTGTTAGGTTAATGACTTTTTGTGATACATGAACGTTATTTTAGTTAGAAATGTTACAGTAAAAGTGCTTGTATTGCGGTCTCGGCTCGTATGTTCGGCCGCGCGCGGTGTCGTATTTCTCCCGCTACGTTTTCCCCCTGATTTTAATAGAAGTTTGTATTTTAGGAACAAAAGAGAAAACCAGGGAATTTATTAAGCTTAGGGCGGAGATGGACCACATGATCACCGGAGCAAAGTATTCGGCGGCTGTGGCATGGAGGTACAATAACATCTCATATTTTAAAAACTCGTTTGAGTTTATTTTTTCTGCGAAAACATGAAAGGAATAACCCGTTGTCCTCTTTTCTCTTCCTGTTTCTTTTCTTACATGTTTGTTAAGACTATTCTGGAGAAAATGGGCATCCAGGGGAAGGTGCCAGCGATGACCAGCTTCTGGATCTGATCAGGGAGAACATGAGGCTGCAGAGGGAGGCAGAGGGCCCAGGAGAGAAGGAATAACTTTGACAGCTTTTTACTTTGCTAGAAAAAAATGGTTAATAAAGATTAAACATGTACATATAAAAGAAATATCTAAATAAAATCAGTTCTGCATTAAACTCTTGAATTTTATTTTTGTTTACAAATGAGAATTGTTCAATATTACAGGGTATCCGCTGGGTCTTAAAGTCTTAAAAGTTGATAAATGGGTTTTGGTCAAATTAAGACCCTTAGAAAGTATTAAAAACTATTATCACATCTTTGCTCAGGCTCAGCTTGTCTAAAGTATTTTCTCTGAATTAGTTCTCCAACAGTCAAGGAAATGATTAACCCCCAGAGACCCACGGTTGTAACATTACAACATCAGATTTAAGTCTACAAGAATAAACCTTCCCCATTTTTTCTTTTTAAAACTACATTTACATTGCTAATAGGTCCTATTGTTCAGTTCTGCAACACTATTGACTGTTAAAATGTGTAAATAGGCCCGTTTATCTGGCCTAGAACAACATGTGAAAGGTTAAATAAAGATTTTGCAGTTGTTTTCTAAATTTGGGTCTCTGGGGGTTAAAAAGCTAAATAAAACGTCAAGCTCCATCGTTTAAAGTTCCTTCTCCCTTCTGCCCAGCGGTTCCACGGTTGCTAGGCGACGGAACGTTCGCGGAGGGAGTTCATGAAGGCTAGGCCTGTCCAAATTCACAGCCGTTAACATCCGGTCTACCCGGCCGACGGAGGACGCAGCCCGCGTCGGCCGAGTGGGCTGCGTCCTTCGAAGGATGCAGACCCTGAATTGAGAGCCCCCACAATGCCGCTCTAAAAATGGTCCCATCCCGGAAGTAAGAAAAATTGCAGTTCCACCCTCATCCGCTGGGGGCTGGTGCCAGAAGCGAGCAAATCCTCTTTGACTCCCATGTTAAAAATGCCGATTTCACAGCAGAAATAAACATGTTTACAGCCTGGTGCCAAAACATGTTTTTTGTCTAAATTAGCTAGTTTATACTCATGACAACTCTGAGGGGGGTGAATTTTTTTCTCACTCTTCTGTTTAAGTGTATTGAAAGCCTAAAATTCTGTATAATTAATGAGCATCCGACACACGTGACCGCCGCCTCAGACCCACGTGACCACAGAGCTAGCTCCGTGGAAAGGCCTCAGTACAGCCTCGGCCCCTCCTGGAAGCTGTTTCGGGATTTTGAGTCTCTGTGCTTGTGAATTCTGTTTTGGATATTATTGGTGCAATTGTTGGACAAAATGACTTGCTGTGGTATTAATTGCACTAATAGAGCGTCCAAGGAGTCTCCACTTCATTTTTTTCGGTAAGTTAAAATCTATATTCGTATTTTATGTCACTGCCACCTTTAAACTAGCTGAGTTTACCGAAGTAGCTAGCTAACTATCAGTTTAACATGTAGCATGTACTGTTTAACCATGAAATTTAAATGTAAAATACGGTAAAATAATTAACCCTCTGATGCATGAATTATGAAATCTTCAACCATGATTTTTTAAACAATTTTTTTCATTCATCTTTAGGTGTGAATGAAACAAATTTCAACAAATATTTTTTGTAAAATTTTATGATTTACAAATAATTTATTACATGTCCACCTCAGTGGACAGCGTGCATTCTGAGCATGAAATATGTTGGCTTGGCTTACTGAAGTCCAAACGGAGGGGCTCAAATGCAAGAAAATCTTCAACAGCTGTGCTTAGTAGCAAAAACAAATAAATAACAATTTTGAGTACCTGTCCACTGTAGTGACCATTATGCACCAAAGGGTTAATAGGGCATATTTAGATGGGTAATATGGTAAAAGATCAAAATGGGTTGAAATATGACGGAGCGCAAAGAGGGAGACTTCTGTGTCCATTCTTCCACCCGGTAATCCCCAGCGGTCAGGCCGGGCAGCCTGGACGATCCGGCGCCTACTTGCTGCGCCTAGCTGCTGCGCGGTCTGACCGCTCGTGGAGTTTTTCATGTCTGACTTTAACCGCATCTAATACTGTATTACGGCGTGAGCGCAACAGCGACAACTTAATATCGATGTGTAAGCAGCCTGAGTGGTAGGGTGTTTTCATCTGAACCCTTAAAATCTCCAGCAGGCTTGGAGTGACACCTGTGTCCATTCTTCCATCCGGTAATCCCCAGCGGTCAGGCCAGGCAGCCTGACCTGTGCGGCGGCTAGTTTCTGCGCGGGCTGACCGCTCTTGGAGCTCTCAGAGACAGATCTGACCGGAGAAATACTGCAGCTCGGTGAGAAGTCTATAGGGCATACAGCGTTTCCCTTAAATCCCACCGCCACGCCGACAAGATCCCAAGTTTCTTTGTTTTTGTTTGCGCTGTTTACCGAAGAAGCAGCGGGAACTAATATGTTGTCGCTTGTGATCACAGCCGGCGGGTAGCAAGTATGTACAGTCTATGATTTTACCGCTCCCTCCTGCAGTCTTCCCCTATTAAAATTTAAAATGTGTAACTTCATGTATTGGGATGAATGACTGATATTCATGTTAAACTCAAACGTTAGGTATTTAGGGGGAAAAACAAAATAATAAACATTATACAGATGTCAAATAAATCAAACTGTAATTAAACTACACTCTTAAAAATGCTGGGTTATTTTGCTAACCCAACTGCTGGGTTAAGGCTGATTTTTAAGCAGTTGGGTCAATTTAATACAACATTGGGTCAAACATTTTGACCCAGCATGTTGGGTTAAAAGGGGCGGTAAAAAGAAAGATCCTCCCCCTCGTCTGTGCCAGCTTCACCATTTTAAAGTGGAGGATGACAAGGACTTGCCTCATTTCCATGGACCTTCACACCAGCAATGTTTAAAAATAAGGTAAGATGTTGATGATGGAGTTTGAAAATGTGTTCTGGTAAAGCAGTTGAAGGCAGGTAATGCAGTAAACAAAGAGATTTTAAGCCTACAAGAGATTTTCAACCGAATATAGCTTCGAGTAGCTAGCTAGCTATAGCTTCCTAGCATCAATCTACTTCATTAGATATAATGGAACAGAAAATCTGTGACACAACTATCTGCTCCAGACAGTGTTTTACCATTTGTCCACCCTCCCTTTGTTTGTTAGACATGATGAGGCTCAGGAAGTTAGGCTTACTATGCATAGCATCCCCACTAGCAGCAGGGGCTCTTTATGCTGCGGTCTGTGCAATACCTCCCGCTACTTGTGTAGCTCAGCACTACTTCTTTGGTAGTACCAATTCTACTATACATTTCTGTGGGGAAATGAGACAGGAGACCAATAGGCATAGTGCTACAGGAGAATAATAGCTTATCTAAGTGGTTGCGCGCAGCTTTCCCGCTACTGTAACTGTTGCCGGGCAGATTACGTTCACAGGTTCATATGCATGTTACATAACGGCACGCGCGCCAACTCCACAACCCCTGTCCCTGGGGTGGGGAGCAAACAAATGGCGGCGCAACGCGCAAACTGCTACTGCTTTCAGTTGACAACAGCTCGCGCTACATAGCGGTGAAATAAAATATAATCAGTGTCAGTCAGAGTCGTGTGCAGCAGCGCACAAATAAACGGGCGGACATTAACGTGAAAGTTAATAGGTTCCAGCTGATGAAGCACGCCAAAGGTAAACTGCTTGATAATCCATCCGAATCATGGGAGCCAGAGTTTCATGATAATGCCCGGTTTATTTCACTCAAGGTATGTTAAAGCTTGAATATATGTAGATGTGTACCAAAACAAAGTTGGATGTTAATTTATAACTGTAGATATTCCCACAAAACTGTCAGGAAGTTCTGAGGATTGTCATCCAATCCTCAGAATCCTTGAGATAATGTGTTAGCTTTTGAAACGATCTGGACGCGCTCTATTTTTGATAATCTGCCCAAAGATGATCTATGCTACTCCCTACTTGCATACGTTTTATTTTGTTAGCGTTTAACAGTAGCAGCATGGCTGTGAACAGCGCGGAAGATTTCCTCTCCAGTGTTGTGGGCAATATTACCAGATGAAAACAATTAATTTCAGCAAGTGTTTGGGACATTGTAAAATAATAAGCTTGTAGGACACAACAGATTGAAACAGGGAACGGACAGGTGAGCTCACTGGCTACTGATTTAGCAGCATCTTACCAAACAGATGACGTTAAATGCACAGTTCAAGTGTTAATTGTTGATAAATACTGCTTCTGCTTTGTTGTATAATCCTTTGTAAACTTCAATTGTTAATTAACTGCAAGTAATATTGGTGATTAACTGTTAAAAAAATACAGCAACCAAATGTGATTTCTGTTTTTTTCTAAAAGATGGATGAATTTGTGAAGGACAAACTTCTGGAATGGAACCTCTCTGAATACATCCCTGCTTTTGAAGGTATGATAAAGTAAATGTATTTCTGTAATTAAAGTAAAAAACTGTAACTACCAGTACTCATATTTACATCTGTGTAAAGCTGGGCGATATAAGATTTTTCATATCACGATACATCTTTTTCCTTTCTGTCAATGTCGATATATATATATATATATATATATATATATATATATATATATATATATATAACAATATATATATATATTACAATATATATTTTTGGTGTACAGCGCCTTATTTGGTTGTAATGCCATGTTGAATGCGCTTTATAAATAAAATTGGATTGGATTAGATTGGAATATAAGTCAAAAAACTCTGTGTAAAATTTAAATGGGCTGTTACTTAAAAGTTAAATGTGAAATCATCAGAAGCTGCTTTTATATTTAAATATTAGTTTCCTGTCAAAGGTTCAACATGACAGTCGTACTGAGAGAACATAACATCTGTTTCAGGTGACTAAAATAATAAAGGTTCATAATATTATAAACTAAAGTCAGGACTAAAGCTTTCAAGTTTCAAAAGAGAACAAAAAATGACCTAACTGCTTGGTCAATTCCACTTAGAAACAAAATATTGACTAAAAATAAATCTCAGGATACAATAAGTTTTACAGGAGAATAAATTGTCGAACGTTTTGTCAATATCAAATGAATAAGCTAAAAACTAAAAGCAAATTCTCCCAATCTGTCCTGGTATAGTTTATTTTAATAGTGTAATTCAGTTGGCTATGAAAAAAAAGATGGACAAACTATATTGCGAGTCTCATTTTACTACTGAGAAAAAGTTACATTGCGGTACATATGGTTACTGTTTTATTGCCCAGGCCTACATCTGTGTGTGGCTTGTTGTTTTATTGATCAGTGATCCAAATTTCCTTCTTTTTTTCAGCTGAAAAGATTGACAAAGACAGCCTTTTCCTCTTGGATGCGAACAGCTTGACGACTTTGATACCTCTCCTGGGTCCACGCCTGAAAATTCAGAATAATTTAAAAAGATTACTTGAGGTATGACCAGTGTCAGAGGTCAAAACAGAATGGGGTACGTGTGCTTTAAATGTCATAGGTCTTTAGGTCATAACATAAGAGCTTTTTTTAACCATCTCAGAGTGGTGCATCATATACTTTCTACTTCGACTTATTTCCAGTGTGCTCAAGTTGGGTGCCATCGCACTTTTGATCAAATAAGATCATTCAGACGACACATAATTGGGCATGCTATTGAGTTTGACATTGAAACAGAAGAAAGTAGCACAGGTGAACTTCCTGACAGTTCAGTAGATCCTCATTTAAGTGTGCTAAATGAGGTGGAATGCTGTGAGACTACAGCAGAACATTGGGATGAGCTAGAGGAAGACAACATAAAGGACAGAGTTGCACTCTTCTTAGCTAGGTTAAAGGCAACATCCTCTCAGACATTCAGTGGGATTAGAGATGTAGTTGAAAACACATCAGGTCTTATCAGAGATGTAGTTGGTTGCTTAAAGAGAAAAACACTCTCTTTTTTAAGAGAGATCGGTCACTCTGAGACTCCACAAGCAGAGGACCTCATGGAGCAGTTCACCAAAGCAGCTGAACCATTTCAAGGATTTGAATCAGAGTACAAGCAAATGAAATATTTTACTCAGTCTGGGTTCTTCATACAGCCAGAGGCAGTACCACTCCCTGGCTTTTCCTTTACACAAGAAATTGATCGAGAGTCAGGAAATGTGAAACAAGTTGCAGTTCGGGACACTTTCCAGTATGTTCCCTTGAAACCCATGTTGAAGCTTGTTCTGGAAAGTCCAGGAACAATAGATAAGATCTTTGAATGGCAAAATCTTGAAAATGCTGCCTTAGAGGATTTCAGAGATGGCACAATATTTGAAACTAATCCACTTTTCTCTAAAGATTTCTCTATTCCATTGGTTCTTTACAGTGATGAGTGTGAGATGGTGAATCCACTTGGCGCAAAAACATCAGTCCACAAACTTGGTTTTATCTATTTCACAATGAAATGCTTGCCACAGGAATACATGTCTAGTTTAAAGTCTCACTTCTTGTTGGCAGTGTACAAAGCTGATGATGTAAAAACATATGGAATGAACACAATTTTAGAGCCAATTGTGAATGACATTAAAGACATGGAACTGAATGGCTTTCATGTTGAAACCACACGTTTTTCAGGCATTGTTAAGGCTGGAGTGGCACAGGTCTGTGGTGATAACCTTGGACTTAATGGAATACTTGGTTACACAGAAAGCTTTGCAGGCAATAGCGTGTGTCGGTGGTGTCGAGTTCACAAGGAAGTGTTGAGGGTACAGACAGTTGAAGCTCCTTCATCAATACGTGACAAGGTTAACTACCACTCAGACTTGCTTCTACACAAACCAGCTGAAACTGGCATCAAGAGAGAGTGCTCTCTTAACAAGTTGCAGTTCTACCATGTGACTGACAATGTTGCTCCTGATGTCATGCATGATATCCTCGAAGGGATTGGTGGTTATGAAATTAAGCTTGTGCTCAATGCATTGATTGAACAAAAAATTGTCACTCTTGATCAGCTGAACTACAGGTTGACAAGCTTTGACTATGGATTTTGTGATGTCCACAACAAGCCATCAACCATCAAACCTCAGGACTTGAAAAATCCTGATACTGGACTTAGGCAATCTGCTTCACAAACATGGTGTCTGCTAAGACTGCTTCCCCTCATGATAGGGGATTTGATTCCAGAGGACAACAAATATTGGGAGTTGCTTCTTTTATTGTTGAGCTGCATGGAGTTTATTTTTTCTCCTTCATTAACAGAAGGAGCAGTAGTCTTTTTGGGGCACATCATTGAGAAGCACCATTGTCTTTATTTAGAGCTCTTCCCAGACAGACATCTAAAACCCAAACACCACTTCATGCTTCACTATCCCAGAGCCATACGGAAACTTGGGCCTGTTGTTCACTTCTGGTCAATGCGCTTTGAGGCAAAACATGGGTTTTTCAAAAGAGTGAGTCATGTTACCTGCAACTTTCGAAATATCTGTAAAACCCAAGCCTACAGACATCAAATAATGATGTGTTACACTCTCCTGTCAGGCCAGATGTTTTGCCATGAGTTTGAAGTTGGGCCAGGATATACCAAACTCCTTGGTACAATAGAGGATTTTGAGAAGGTCAAATCTGGGTTTGAAGGAGTTGCTGTTATTACAGACGTTTATCTGCCTTCTTGGATTAAGTACAAGGGCACTAGCTACAGGACAGGAATGACATTATTTATGTCTCATACAGATGACTGCGAGCCTCAGTTTGGAACTATTCAGAGCATTGTGGTACTTCGTTCGAATACTAAGCTCATTTTAAAAAAGTGGGAAACAATCGGCTTTGAAAGGCATTTTTTTTGCCTTCAATGTTTCCCCTACCTCAGCGATTGAAGCAGTGGACATTGATTCCATTGCTGACTATCACCCTCTCCATGCTGTGAAATCCTACAAGGAGAATTGCAGTGACCTACATTTCACTGAGGTACAGGCTATTTTAAACCCAAAGGGTTTTAAGTACTGTCTTGAGCTTTGACCTGGTACTACCTCATTTTTGTGACAAATAAATGTAAATACATTCAAATCATTAAAATATTTGATTAAAATCAATATAACTGTGGAGCTGCATATCAGCTTTATCATCATCACTTTTGTAAGTATATACCTGAGTGTTTTTGACAAATATACCATAATTGTTTTTATGATTTGAACCATGTAACTAAAACTACAATCAGAATTATAGATGCTTTATCAATTTTTTTGTAGTTATGTAGGGTCTTCCCCTGCTTTTTTTTAACCAGGATTCAAGCCCTAAACAAACGGAGTCTGTTTGTGCACCAGCTGACAAATTGCAGCACGTGGCTCCTGTCCAGGGTGGAACATCATTTGTAAGTCTTACTATCCATGCAGAAGTAATAATGGATTCTTATCATTCCCTCCAGAAAATCCCTCTAACCTTTCCCAGTGATGTATTGAAGGTTTAGGTTTCTTTGCAGATTTAATTAGACCCTTTTTCTCTGTTCACATATTATTAGAATATCCGTGAGATACTCAACAAAACACCTGATGGAAGAGCAATAGTTCACAGCCTTGAAGAAAGCCATCACATTTCTATAAGTGAGAGAAGATCCATGGTCAGGATACTTGTGTCCCACCTGATTGAGTGCTTTGGAGAGAAGTGAGCATCTTTTCAAACTTATAATAGACTTCTCTTTTTTATGTTATTTAAAGTTGGTGAACAAATGTAGATTTTTAAACCATGGCCATCTCTTCCAAAGGATTTGGAGTGTTGAATCACAAATTATGGTTTTCAAAATATGATTGAAAACAATAAAAAAGCTGTTTCATAATAAGTGTACAAAAGTATCTTTTGTTTTGGGTGTATAATAAAGTAACATGTCAATTTTCTTTTGAAGTCCACCCTCGGAATCAAAGGCATTGCTGGCATCATCAGTAGTGGAGCAGTTTCCATGTCTAAAGGACAGTCTTGGCACAGGCTATGTAAGTAACGTTTCATATGACATTATTATGTTATCAAAAATAAAGGACATTTAAAACTCTCATAAAAGTCAGCAAACTGTCCTACCATCATCTATATTAATATCTATTAGGGCTGCACAATATATCGAAAAATTATCGTCATCGCGATAACAGGACGTGTGATAGGCCCATCGCAAAACACGGCAAAAACAGCGATAAATGTTTGGTTCAAACATTTCCATCCGTGTCATACATCAGCTTTTTGTAAACCAGCTCTGTTTTTTACGCAGAAGTATTATTTGACCAATCAAATGTAGTCCTTCTGATATGCGACCAATCAGATGGGTCCGTTCACGTAATACGCCCGCCCCCTACATAGACTCTTTTGGAAAGCAACAGCTGAACATAGTTTGCAGCGCCGTTCCCTTGTTCGTCATTCTGGCTCAGAGCACCGAACACACTTTGTGCTGAGGTTTCTGGAATCAGCGCTGCTTTCAAACGTGAACGTGAGTCCGCTCGGTGTCGTAATCATTTTTACCGGGCTGACTCCGACACGTGCCGGTGAACCAACCCACCTTCATGTCGCTAGTGTTCCACCGGGTGGTGGCTCCGGTTAGCTTCCAGCTAAAAGGCTACAGCACTCTCCTCCCAGTCCCACCCTGCTAAAGAGGGCCTGGAAAAGTTCCCCCACACATCAAAGTGATTTTTCATTTATGAGCTTTTATAACCTTGTTAATCAGGATAGTTGATTTGCTGCTGCACATAAACTGTCAGTCAGAAGCTCTGCTAGCCAGTTATCTTAGAGGAGCTAGTTCAATTAGTTAGCTTGTTATCAGAATCATAGTTGCAGTTTCATCATCTGAGCTGCTTTTTAAGATCTAGGTAAACTTGTTCAATTTGGGGTTAAAAACAAACGTTTTCACATATTTTCCATGTAGTTTTTTTGCCAGTTCCTCTTCTGAAAGGTAGACGATTGTTTTTCTCTTTCCCTCAGAAAATCTTAATATTCTCCTAGTTTGGCCCAGCACAGTTCACTTTCCAATTACAGCAACATCCTTATATCTTAACCACATAAGTGGAGAAAATGTTCAGTAGCAATGAGAGAATTTGCTGTTGCATTTAAGTGATGTTAACTATTATTTAACATTTAAAGTATTTATTCTAAAAACCCTGGTAAGGGATGTTTTTCTGTATTTGGAGAATCAGAAAAAGTTTTATGGTGGAGGTGATGTTTTAAAGTCACTGAGAAACTGCATGCATGCAGTTTGTTGTTTTGCTACTAATACAGTAGCAGGTGCAGCTGCATGTTTTTGCTATAAAAATGTTATGTTGTAATGGAATTCATGCATTAGTTTTTGTTTGCTTTGAACCCAGAGAAGACGTCACACGCCAGACGACATCAACACTGCATATTTTAGTATTTGTTCATTTATCGTGAGTAATATCAATATCGCAATATTAAGCACTGTTATAGAATATCGCAGGTCTTCAAAAGCAGCTTGAATTGCCTTATCACTGAAAGTGCTTTACAGACGAATTTGACTTGCCTATCACTGTGTGACCAACATATAATTAAAACACAAACCTCAGAGTGGATACTCCCAATAAATAAATTGTAAATTTCAAGTGAATCCACTACCTCATTCAAAGGCTTGTGCTGGTTTTCTTATTTTCTAATTTGCTATTTTTGTATTCTTTCCTGTTGTGTATGTGTTTTTGTTTTTACTTTAGGATGCGTGGTTCACCCCAGGAAGGAAACATAGACCTGCAACAGGATTCCTAGAGGAATGTCTCCGCAATGTGCGAAAGAGGTCACGCTGCGACACCCAGAATAAGTCAACACCTCAAGCGCCACAAAAATGCCAGATTGTTTTGCCTGGTAAAGCCAACTTGCCTTAATCTTATAGCGCTTTTACACTGGCGTCGGCTCCGCATGATACGGCCCCGCTCAGAGCGTTCACACTCTTTTTCTCGAGTAGAGCTGCGCGGAACGGACACCATTTTCGGACCGAGGAAACCTTGGTTCCACTCTGGCCAACACGCCCACCTATGAACTGATAAGCCCTGCATAGTGATGTCACTCTCGCTCTTTCTAACTGATTTAAACACATTGCAGCTGGAAACTGTAACCGGCGCTCACCCGATGTGCTGTCTGCCTTCTCCCAGCTCTGCTGAGCGGCTTCCAGTGATTCTCTACCAGAACGACGTCTCCTCACATGTCAAACAAGGAGATTTTTTCTTTAAAAAGAGCCAGTCCACGCACAACGTACAAATAAATTGCGACCTCCTCTGCGTTGTTTCCTTCCGAGATATCCCCCGCTCTCCCCAATGCTGCTCCTGCCTTTGTTTACCTGCATTCTTTCCCGCCACCTGCTGGCTCCGCTCATGGCCCAATTCCTCACCGGCAACATGTGAACACAACCCGGCTGGAGTGGAGCGGGACAAGCTGGCCCAAGTGTAAAAGCGCCATTACAGTCTACTTAATGGTTGCACTCTTTCTCTAGGGCATTTGCTGAAATGAAACAATTCTGACATATTTTTAAATTGTAAAGGTCATGATCGGTCATCACTATTCAGAATGTTTTTTTCTTTTTTAATCTACAACAGAACCTACTGTATCTCCAGAGCGAGCCATCCAGATGACAGAATGGCTGAAAAACAATATCTGGCCACCATCACAAGTTTCCCAGTATATGCTGGAGACCGCTATCCAACGAGCCCAGTGGATTAGAAGCAATGGGACAATGTCAATCAGAGAAATAATGGCCGAGTTTCCACGTTTGGTTGACACTCCAGGCATGGTGAGCTTTCTTATACAGTAAATTTCACAAATCAGTTTTTGTGTTTAACAATATGTCTCTTACCCCCCCCCCCCCCCCCCCCCCCCATTGTAAGATTTCTCAGGACTTCTCTGTGCTACACCCAGACTCCTCAGAGAAATTAACTGCAAGGTGGAGCCACGTGTTCTCCCGAAAGATCATCCGCATGGCCAGAAAAGAAGACGCAGCTAACCGTCTCATCGACATAGATTCGCTTCCAGCAGGTATTTGCATATCACAATCATTGTCAACTTTATTTAATTTTTATTTTGAGTCAAGAGTTTACTATAACATTTTTGGCTAGGCTGATATGGGACAGAACACACTAGTGCATTTTTTTAATTCAGCCATTTGCACCAGTAGCATGCATTGCGGTGCAGCCCATTATCTCAAGCAACTCAAAGTGGATCGCTGATACGAGCCTTTTACTGTGAAGTGGCTTCTGTCTGACCATGCTACCATCCAGGCCTGATTGGTGGATTGCCAAGATCATTGTCCTTCTGGACGGTTATACAGTGTGCATTTTAGGACATCCTCGGGTCTCAAGAATACATGAGTAAGACCTCAGAAAGAACACCTCAGATGTCAGACATTAGATAAAAAGACATTTCTCAAGAACACACTTTTTATTCTTCTTACTAAACCGCCTCAGACAGAACAGACTCGTTAAAATAGCTTCAGGTGTTCACATAAACCCCACTGAACAAATAAAACAAGACATATCTGTTAGAACAAGGTCAACTGTTTCCAGTACCAATATAAAGTAGCTCAGCAGCTAAATAATAATTATACAAGCCACACTTTGTCCTCAATTTAAAAGCCTTTACACGCCTTATAATGGGCTACATCTTGAAGATGGGATGGAAATATAAAAGAAATTGTAAGGTTAGCCATAGCCAGCCAGCTTTTCTCCAGAAAGTAGCAGCACACAACTTGAAAATCCAGGTGCTGAAGCTCTGATGGTGCATTCCAGTTACCTCCTAATTCTGAGTGACTGAAAGTAGATGAGGTCATGGACTATAGGTTTGCTGTTCTAGTTGCATCAGCTTAAGCTGGCAGCAGTCAGCTCTCTCTATGTAGCCCCGCCACCTGTCGAGTCTCCATATTTCGATCTGGAATCTCCGCCGCAGGCTGCATTAGAAAGCCTAGGAAGGAGGGTGGGCCATCTGCTGGAATACTTTGAGCTGATTGGAGGAAGCACCAGCAAGTGTCCGAACACTGGCTACCATGGTTTGTCTTTAGCCAATCACAGCTAAGTCTCTAGTTTTTCTAAAACAGATATTCAATATAGCGCCGTATTGGAGCTATAAATGAGACTACCTAGGCCTACCTTTTGCTGGAGGTTATATCCATTCTGAAACCAGTAACTGCTCTGACATCCACCGGCACTGCCATGTTTGTCGGCATGCCCAAACAGCTGCTCATGCGCCTGCCAAAAAGCACAATGCTGACACACGATTAGTCCGTTTACCATTGAGCTGATGCTGAACCGTCAGGATTGGAGGAGGCCAAGATGGATTCTCACGAGTTTGGAAAACTCCAAATCTTGCGAGAAAACATCTTGCAGGGCAAGGTTAGCATCAACTCAGACAAAAATGGAAAGTCCTTAAAAAGCAGTGTGTATTGCTTCTCTTTCAGATCAATCAACTTGTCATTTACGGTAAAAAAAACAACTATGAAACAATCTTTGAAAAATTAGCTTAAATAAAGGCTCTATAAGTACAATGAGACATTTAAATTTTTTATTTTGATCTCATTGTCAATACGTAGCCTATTAGGTGTGCAGGCATTAGAGGACAGTAAATGCGCTGTATACAATTTCTTACAAATTTTTATTATCTGCTGGAGCTTTGGAGATGAGCTGAATATATGGTAAACATCTTGTGTTGCCAATGGGAGTACTTCACCTTATCACATATCACTTGTTGTATTCAGTAGGTTTTATGGTAACATCTGAGGCAGTTTTTTCTGTCTGACTTGATGTGGGCGATATAAGATTTTCACCCATCCATTTTTCTGTTTTTGAATAGTTCCAACTTTGTTTTTGAAAGATATCAGCCAGTGTGTTCTGACCTCAAAATCATTGCAGTTCATATTTTATGGTTGTCATTTTCTAAGTTTGGTAACCTTGAGAAATGTGAAACATTTCCATTTTACAGACAAACAGGAAGATGCCGCTTTGTTGTTGCTCCCACTGATTCTCCCTACTGCACCATACAAAGTTGGAAGGAGACTCCTCCGACCCAGCAGCGTGGTTCGCAAGGCCTTCATTGACATCCAGCCAGTAAGTTCTATTAATTTTGACATTAGGTATTATTTTCTAGGGATGCACCAACATGAAAATTCTTGGCTGAAACCAAAAACCTAAAATGAGAAAACCAAGGCTGAAAACTGCAGCACTGAAAGAAAAATGGTCAATTAGCATGTCAATAAGCTAAAAGTCAACCATAGCATTTATGGCTACAATGTATTCCAACTTCACTATAATCAAGGCATTGCAATAAAACAAAACTGAAATATTTATTTAGCACTGACATAACAGTGGAAATTTTTTATTGAAATTTTAAATTTTTCACTTGCTTCCATTTATGTGCACATTAAATTATAATAAATTCAAAATTGGTAAAATGAATAAATGAAAGATTTACAGACTTAAAACTGAATGCCAGGAGAAAGACTGTAAATTTAATGAGGGATACGTAACACTGACATCTTGTGGTCAAATCGGAGTGCTGCAGAAAAATTCCCTCCCTGGTTCCTCGTTCGGACTAGAATCATAACAAGACGAGTCAGACACAGTAGTTGATATTGTTAGTAGATAAATACATTTCACTCCAATAGCATCTGTGGTAATTGAAAAAAGCAACTTGAGATATTTTTAGAGTTGACTCTTTCTAATTTACTGTTAGCATTGTTAGCTCTCGTTCGTGCAGGGGGAGCGCCGTTCTGTGCGAGGCAGGACGCAGCGCCATACGCACTCTGGTAACAGGTGTGTTTATAATTAATTCCTGTAGCCTGTTACTCTGGTCCATGTGTGGTGGCACGGTTTGAATCTCTGTTCAGGCTGGTTTGGTTCAGTATTAATTAAAATGGCAGTGCGATTTCTGATCTACAGGGACTATAAACGCTGAACATCATTTATGCTGCTGCGTCCCATCATGGTACAGCTGGAAAAATCCATTCTATTGCAGTAGAGGGAAAATCTCTATTGTGGATTAAGTTTATATCGCCCATTCCTACTCTAAACCATGCCACACATGGAGCAGAGTTACAGGCTACATGAATTCATTACACTTATGTGAGAGCGCATGGCTCTGCATCTTGTCTGGCACAGAGCGCCACTCCACCTGCACCTGACGCCAAACGCTCGCTGGGTTGTCAGCCAAAGTTTGGAAGTCAGGAAACATGTCTCCAATTGACGTGGTCAGAATTAAATAAATGTCTTTGAATGATGGTTTTCTGATTTATTTTGCGGAAATCCCAAGTTGCTCTGGCCTGTCAGCTGTTCTGTGTGCAGCACAGGAGCTGCTGACCTCTCCCTGTCTTTCTCTGAGCAGTCAGCTCCCAGTTTGCGAGCTAGACATTAATGCAGCTTTTGTGTTTAGTGAGCAATGAACCATTGAGGACTCAATTGTATGCATTGCTGCAGTGCAAAATATAACATTTGTTTAAACTATTTTAAACTTTGTGTTTCATTAACATAGCTCACTCATTTAAAATAGTCATCTTTATATTACCGGTATGTGAATTTTTGTATTCCAGTTTTTTGGAGTGTTTACATGCATTTTGTGTTTTGCATTTTGTTTGTTTACATTTTACATATCTTTTTAGATTTTGTATTTGATACAAGTAATAATTGAAATAATGCAAATGTTTTTGCTCACAAAAAAATTAAATACACTTTTTGGGATAACAAACAGCAGCCTTTCTGCACAAAACGTATGCCAAAACCATACTGAGACCGTGGT